TGATAATGAGAGAAGGCGCAGTACTGATGGTGTAATGGTGTTGAATAGCGATCCTGAAGGTATGACCCACAGATTATTGCATGGTATGGCTGGATCCGATCTTGAATACAATTAAACAATATGGGGGGTGGCACGAGGCCTCCTTGAAAAGTCACGCTCTTTTCGTACGTTACCACTGTCAGGTTCGGTGAGATATTCCCTGAAATCGAATATTTATTGATTTTTTAGAAGTGTGCTGTGATTGGTCAATTATGGTGGAGATGCTGCCTGTGAGGCCTGTGATTGGTTATTGAGTATTGCAAGCTTGAACCGAGCCTGCTCACCTGAATTCGCCATCATCGGCTGGATTCAGGGCATCTTTCGATGAACCCCGACTTCCGACGGGTTGTCGACAGCAATATGAACAGCAGAAACACAATGTTATGAAGAGTACAATGGCTAATGTGATCACTCCCAACACAAGTAGCGTCATATAGAATGAGTTGGCCTTTATCGAGCCTAGCATCGACACCTGAAATATTGCGCTATTGTTGATCGCGCTAAGATTGATAGACATGTGAAAGCACGATTTCCGACGATAAAAGTGCATTTCGATGGGATTTCTCAGTTCAAACTTTTCCCACGGCAAGGTTTTCACCGTGCAGCAACTCAGATGGCAACTAGAGATATCCCAATCACGCTGAACCATTCACAAGACAACAAGAACTTCCGGAGAACAAATCGGAAATCGAAACAGCCCTTCGATTTGCCTCACGTGCCCCCTACAGATGTTTGATATGCTCCTCCAAGCTCTTGGAAATGTCTTCCAATCGTTCAAAGTGTGCAACAAACTCATGCATAGACAATGAAATGGAATTCTACATACTCAAGAAAGCACATACGAACACTTCGGGGGGTGTTTCCATGCATGAGTTTGGGTCTCAGATTCTCGTGCAGAAATCAAAACCTAACCGAATCATATGACATACCTTTGGTGGGCGGAGTTTCACACAGTTGTACATTTCAATATTCCGATTCTCCATGTACACATTCGTTATAGTGCATGGTAATTCACATAATTCAAGGCATTGTGTACGATTTGGGAAAGTATGAGTTACTAAAACATGTTACATAGTTGTATTGAAAATGCAGACTTTTCAGATTACCGTACCTGATCGTGGATAGGAAATAATCGTCTGTTCATCTACACTGTAGTCTCTGTTAGCGTAATCTTTGGCATAGCGATCACTGTATGCTTGACAAGAGGTGACCAGAAGGCAGAACAACGTGATCCTTCTCATCTGAAAATCGGTTTTTAAGGGTAGGGAAAATTCAAGCAGACCAGCCACCGAAAAACAAAAATGGACTACAGAATGAGCACGCTGAACACGAGGAGTGTAGTATTGTCACCAAAAGTGATACTATGCAAATACAAGTACACAATGGCTACTCAACTAGAAGAGGAGGTCGTTCTACTCCTCAAGAGCAATTAAGTAATGTTGTAGCGGATCAGTAGGTGGTGTAGATTGCGCCACTCAGCCACCTACTCGAGTAGGTCCATAGCCATGGATCAGTTTTGTAATGAGATTTTATGGGTTGTCATGTGAGCTCTTCCTATTGATCCAGAATTTTTAACACCAAACAATTGGGCCTATACATAACACCAAGGAGAGAGTTCATGAAAGGTGATACGACCAGATATAACGAAGGCACTTTCTTGCCAAGGGCGCAGGCATGCAAGAGGCCGATTTTTGCGGCTCAGCCGCTTACTAAATAATGCAGCATCTACGCCGCTCCTAGTTCTGGCACATGCATTAAGTAGCAAAAGTAAACGACATGGCGAACACCGCAAGCGACCGCCGGCGAATCGGCGTCAGCGAATCGCGCGGATTCGTCGCTGTCGTCGGGCGGTTGGGCGGTGCGACGACAAATTCGTGGGCGAGGTGAATTCATGTTCCTCAGGTGAGGGGGACATCTCGTCACTGTCACTCAGCTCGTGTCAATGTCCGACATGACGGGAGCCGGCACCACTGTTTTAAGCAATCCGAGACGAGCTCGATGTGATGACAAGCGCGTCTGCCATGACAATCGCCCGCGCGCGCGTATCTCTTGAAATATGCACGGGGATCGCTGAAAACTCAAAACAATGCGTGATCGACATCGATGTATTCTTTGAAACACAGAAATCGCTGTTCACGACGTACAAGTGACTCCCAAAGAAACAGCAACTATCATGACTAAACTACAAATGAAACTATAAATAAAACACGTCCGAAAGGCATAAAAAGTTATCGTGCGAATAATAAGTAACCGTGAATATCGATTGGAATCACATTTGATTGCTAAAACAAAGGGGCCAAATCGATAGCATCACTAGGGACTGGGCGGTTCGTTATCATCTCTCATTCGGTGGGGTGCTCTGAATCAGCACAGACGGTTGCTGCCGTACACGTGAAGCCTCTGGAACTCGGAAATCGAACAACAGGTGGCCAGTGTGTGTGAGTTTGAGTCACAAGTTTGTTTGTGGTTCAAGAAAAAGACAATTTCAAAGCATAAGCAATGGCCTCCCTGGCTCTGTGGACTCTGGAATTGCCGTGTGTTGTTTGTGTCATTAAGATGAAACCAATGAGCTGTTGCTGTGCCACTGCTACTGCTGCTCAACTTACTCGACTCTCAAACTCCACACTACACACAACCTTTCACTCCCCCGCCTTTCACTTACACGATGAACATAACAAATTTGATTATATTCAGTCTAGAAGCCTAACTAGCTTGAAGCATCGCATTTTGGTGGCTGGCTGGCAGCAATAGTGGTGCAACTAATTATCATTATTAGGGTCATGAAATGAGGGCCACCCTCCCCACTCGCGCCACATAGACTCGCTGCTGGTTGCACATTCATTCATCGAGTAAGACGAGAGCGTTACTCGAGAAGAGGGTCCCTTTGAACTTCAGGTGAGGGGAGCGGCAATTGAGAAAGGGAGCGCCAGAGAGTCGGCCTGAAAAGGTCCATTGTTCCCAGATCAGCAATTCCGGACGAGTTTCCGTACGAAATGTATAGCATTGCAATTAATTGCTGTAACGGATACGTCGTGGGAACGTCTCAGACATGTCGAGACGGCTTTGTTTGATGAAAGAACTTCGTGGCATACAGAATTGCCACGAAGTGAACAAGAAACAACTGAAAGTGAAAGACTTGGACGTGAGAAAAAGATTGAAAGCCTCAGTAACAGAGAGGAGCACTCTCTGGTTATCTCATCGGTCACACAGGTGGCTGGGGAGTCTGACTGTGTATGTGTGTGTATGTGAGTGTGTCTGAGGGCGTGTGTATGTGTGTAGACAAACGATACGGGTCAGTGAGAAAACCAGGTAACGGTCTAAGTCATCGTCTTAACATGGGGGCCTGGTCGTCAGCAAACAGATGACCGTCTTCACCTCCCGACTACTCCCCACCCAGTTAATGAGCCCGGCTGACCTCAGTCAGACTCCGTCACACAATGGCTCCACGATGACGTCATTGGCTCAGTTATGTTCGTGGAACAGATGCGCTCAGGTCAGCTAATCCCTACGGCAGTGCTGTTACTTGGATCATCCATACTAGTGACTTTTATACTCTTTTATGAGGAGTAATATTGATTGGATAAAAACTAGTAAGCTACTATAACGGACTGTTGCAAACGCTTTCAATTAATCTTCAAATCCATATTTTTTATCTCACCGTAACACGTTGAGACCCTATCGATCACGAAGCACTTATTCAGTGCTCGATCTTCTCGAATATTCAAAAAACCCAATCAAATGGGGGTTTGTTTTCAACAAACCCCTGAGCAAATGATTGACTATGACGAATTCTCCAAAAAAATACTCGTGTAAGCAAAACAAACCCTCCGTCTACAGGCTCTACTTTTACTGCTGTGAATACAGCAAGTAAGTAGTACTAGAAAACTTTTGAAAGAAACTTCCACGATAAGCACGTCACCAGTACACTGTGATACATCACTTTGAAAGGAAAAAAACATATAGGAGACAAGAATACGAAATTTTGGTCGAAATGCGGAAGTCGGAAGCTCCTGAACCTTCCCTCAATGCGTCGGACAACTTAGGGACCTTTTCTGTTTGGAGCACTTACTCATTGTTAACTACGGAGTACCATTCTTAGAAGATTTTGTAGGTCAGAGTTCGTAAAGATCGAGAGGAACTTTGGACCAATTCAATTAATAAAGACAAGAGGGGTTCCTAAGTTTACTTCATTACACTTTACTTATATTTAATGTAGTAGGAAGTTATAACATAAACTATTCTCAGCAGGGAAGACTGGAATGAGCCAGTAGAATACTAGTACTCAAATTCACTTGTACAAAAATAGAATGTGTTCTATAAGTGATGTAATCACAGGATTTCCAAGGGGAAGGACCCTTGTAGATGTCAAAATTCGTCTACAAATGATTGCGAAACACTATTAATGAAACAGATTACTGCAAAACATTGTCTACTAGTTACTTACTAATAAGTAGGAACATCAGTGACATATATGAGAACAATACGGGTTACTAAGCCGTGTTCTGAATAGAGCTATAAGCAAATCCCAGGCATCTATCGGCTTATGTATGAGCGTGGATGGCGGATGTGTTAATGATGTTGATAGCGATAATAATAATTGTAGTAACTCCGTCTTGCTAGTAATTAGTAACAAAGACAAATTGAGTGAGTAGAAATGAGTGGGAGAGAGTGAGAGTTTCAATTGATCTGCTTGTCGACATTGTCAGCGGCTCCTGAGAGCATTTATCGTGGGGCCCGACCACGGCGACGACGTCGGCCTCAATAACATGTCACACTTCTCACCTATTCATACATTTGTGCATAATATCAGTTGTGAGATAGTCAGTGTGACGGCTTTACTGCTTTCTAACTGGTAAAGTAGTGAATAGCGACAATTAGAGAGGTAGAGATGAGATTGAAGCAGATGAGATGGCATGGATAGGGGAGATATTCGAGGGCTCTGAAGCAACCACAAGGAGAATTGCAGTCAGTGGTGATCAGTCAGTCAACTGAGGACCACTAGTCTCGGACATCGAGGGTAAGTGACCGAAACGAGGGCCAAACAATGGGTGGGGACCTTGGCATGCCTATACATTCGAGTGCGTTATGAATGCGGCCTATGACTACGTGAGGTGGGCGGGGCATCTCGAAGATCTTGAAGACGAGCGTGCGCGCGACCTCGCAAAGTCTTCGGCCGGCCGACGACGTTGTCTCAAGTACCACGGGGCATCACGGAACTTCGAGCTCATGCTCGACCGTTGTCTAACATCATACGACCAACCCTAACCCACGTGGTCAAAGCAAAAGCCCGCCGCCGACGCGATACTGCCGGTAAGACGCACGTGGGTGTAAATCATTTCACCTTCTTTCGGAAAATACCACCAATAGCCTAATTGATACTGCTTGTTATGGGGCAATGTTACGTGGGTAGCCTTCTATGAAGTATGCCGACTGGGTCTGATGTTCCCTTGATAGCGCTAGGAACCCATGAAATTGATAAGGAGTGCATTAATCCTATGCAATTCTGGTCGATTGTGCCCAGGATGGTCACATGCACCTCTGAAACCGGCAGGAAACTCTAGTCAAAGGGTGCTGCAAAGTTTTTGTCGTGTTTAACCATTTCTAAGCCCTAAGATGAATGTTTCTGTCAAAAGTAAAGCAAAAGTCCTAAATCAACTACTAATGCCCCCACCGAAGCTCATCTATAAAACCCTGATACCCCTGGATTTTCCCCGTTTCATCCTGGTTTGGACCACTTTCTCATTTCCCTACGAATTGTGACTGTATTTATGCGATGACAAATGGATGTACGTACGTGCGATATACTTGAAATTCACAAGCACTTTAGCCGGTTGCGGCTATCGGGATGGGTGGGGGGATTCCCGTTCCCGTACACATACCCATATCGTCGTATAATGAATGCATCAACATCGACCGACGTGAAGTGACGACGTCGAGACGTTGAGATGAGTGAGTCAACAGTCATCGAAGAGTACGAACACAAACGTTGGAAGACAGTGTGAAATGTCCTGACGACTGCATTCATACGGCTTGCAGAAACAATTTCAATTTCTCGACGGTGGGAGTGTTGCTCAGAGATGGCCTATTCACGAACGATCAATGACTTGGCTTTAAATTTCAAAGATTAGATGTAATTAGATCTAAATATGACGAGAGTAAACTTCAAAAACCTCAAACTAACGAAGCCCTACATCCATTGTTCTTAAGTCTCCTCAACGACGTGAAATCTACCTTGGGTAGG